GCTTAACTTGAGAGACTTTGTAGCTATAATGCGTTACTTAAATCCAGAAAATCACAAAATGACTATTGTATGAAATTCTAAAAGGGAGCGCTGATTAAATAGAAGATAATTAGAAACTGAGAGTTTTATAATCTTTCATAAAATAAGATTTAGAAAGAAAGAAATTCGCAACAAATATATATTAGCACAAGAAAAGAAAGAAAAGGAGGAAAAGAATAAACTAGAAAAGGAAATTGACATTTAATGGAGTGCCATGGGCGGCAAATGTTTGTCACACCATCTATGTTTGATTACTAAGTTGATGGACATAAATTGATGTCAGCGTATTCTTGGAAATTGAGTCGACAGAAGTATCGTTAAATGGCCTGCAGGGTTTCTTTGCAGTGGCAGAACTCATTTTCCTTTTCGCCTTTTCTTACGTTTTCCCAGCGAACAAATGTGCTTTTACAATTGAATAGACTTAGCTGTTTCGAAACAATTCAAGCGGAACTCAGAATTTTGCGCGATTTTTTAGCTTACGAGCAAAATCCAAAACTGTTAGACATATGAGTTAGCACAGATTCAACAAAACTACTTAAGGTGGTTCTCTGAAATGTTCCATTTATAAAGCTGTTGATATTTATCTTCTTATCAATCACTAGAATAATATGCAGTGAGGTGAGTAGAGTTCATTTTACATAGTTTCTAGTTAATAAGCGTTTGCTCACTGTTAGTGTATGTTCTTCTAAGAACATTAGACTTATGAAACCGCTAATGTAGCACTGTTTAGATGAGCGTAGCAGAAATTGTCATATTCTCTGTTGGGTTGTTATTCTCAATTCTTTCCCATTGTATAGCTTGGGCAATTCATACCAAAGTATCCAGAGTAAGTGTTTCTAAATTCCATTAAGTTCTTCTGCAGCGGATGACGTCCATGTTGCCTAACCCTCAAAAATTTTAGGTTCTTGAAAGATTAAAAGATTGCGACGATAATCTAAAATCCGCTGCAAAATTAGTAGAAAATAGTTC